AAAAAAAAAAAAAAAAAAAGAACCTGACGGGCTTCAAGGCCCCATCCTAGTCAATCGATCTAACGTAAATGGTAATCTTGAAGCTTCAAGAATGATACAAACCAGAGTCATTTCTAAAGGCACAATCGTCAATGAGTGCTCAGGCCCTGCACTGTGAAATGCCAGGGCTGCCATCACTATTTTAAGGACCAGGCTCACCTATCTTCAGAAAGCTGGAGCTGATAAAAAAAAGAAGGTAATAATCCTCAACTGGTTTTATTTTTTTTTATTTTTTATTTTTTTTTAAAGATTTTATTTATTTGAGAGAGTGAGAATGAGAGAGAGAGAGAGCATATGAGAGGGAGGAGGGTCAGAGGGAGAGCAGACTCCCTGCTGAGCAAGAAGTCCGATGCGGGACTCGATCCCGGGACTCCAGGATCATGACCCGAGCCGAAGGCAGTCGCTTAACCAACTGAGCCACCCAGGCGCCCCTCTCAACTGGTTTTAAAAGAAAAAAGAAAATACACCACTAAGCCCATGAAAAAGTTCGTTACTCCCAGTTCAACCTTCCATCTCTACCCTTAAACTCTTCCACAATACTGCCTCATTTTCCACCATGCTTATGACTGTGCTTGATGTTCATTTTAACCAGACCTCATTCACCAGTATAGAAACTGGGGATAGCAAACTATGTGATCTGCTAAAGCCTTCAGATGGGAAGGATGAAACTGGTAAGAAACACAGAAGATGAGCACTAAAAAAGCTTGTTACGTCAATATCCAGTGCCAGCAAGGCAAACCGATTAAAGTTACAAAAATTGGTTTTATTTAATCAACAACTGCAAAAATAGCACAGCCAGGAAAGCTGGCCCCTTTAGAGTCATTCTCCTCTCCACCAAGTCCTCAGCTGCCAAATCCAGCTCTTAGGGTTCCCATCATTTACTTCTAGGAACAGTAAAGGACAAGCAGCAGGGTTTCAAAAGTCTGAACTGTGAATAGCAGCAGGAGCTGAAGAATCAAAACAGGATGTAACTGAAACTCTTCCAATTCTAGCATAAACTTAAAGAATATGTTCCAGTGGCAGTTCTGGTGGGTGTTGCAGGAAGGAAAAGGAACAGTCTATCCATTTTTTAAAATGTGGTATTTACCCAGCCATGAGTCAATCTGTAGGTCTTAAACTTTTACAAATCCCTGAATTAAAAAAGGTTACCAGGATTCATTACAAGAGAAGGTTTGAAGTGTTAGGTGAGGTTTCTTTTTTTTTTTTAATTAAAGATTTATTTATTTATTTTAGAGGGAGGAGAGAGGGAGGAAGAGGGAGAAAATCTCAGACTCCCCGCCGAGGGTGAAGCCTGACTCGGGGCTCAATCTCACGACCCTGAGATCGTGACCTGAGCCGAAACCAGGAGTCAGACACTTACTTAACCAACTGAGCCATCCAGGTGCCCCAAGTTAGAGGAGTTTTTAAATGACATCTTTTTATGTCAAAATAGACAGTATCTTGGTCATCAAAGCACACAAAATGTTAACAGAAGAAATAAATACCATTTCAGAGAGTCAGGAAAAAAAAGCTGCAAATGAATGACAAGCAGGGTTAATGTTTTTGTAAAGTGTAAACAATAGAGAAGAAGCTGGGTGGGAGCCAAGGAGGGCA